GTTCGAAAAGTACGAGTCCCAGTTAGAACATCTAATTAGGTGCTGATACAAGTCCCAGTCAGCATGTGTGTACAATTTCATGGGTATATAACCAACTTCGTCCCTGCGTTTGGTTTCAGGAAAGATGTCAAAAGAACAAACCACTGTTTTATGGTCACTACCTGGAAATTCATGTTCCACATGTACTGTAGATGGTGTTATGTTGTTCGTAAAAATAAGGTCTAGGATATTTGCGGATCTAGTGGGTGAATTTATGTGTTGTGTCCACCCTCCTGTGACGATGGAATTCATGAGATCATCATACCTTTGGGGTCCTCGGAGTGAAGACCATGATACTTCTGGCATAGAAGAAACCACTATTAATATTGGTCCATTGTTTCCTTAGTTGACTGCTAGGCTAACAAATGTAAGTGGTTCTCGTGATTGATGCAAGTGCAGTGCATTTGAGAAGGCAATAACTCGTTTAATTCTCCTTACTGATTCACTTAGTGCGATCATCCTGTGTATAGTAATAATATACACATGGTTTTTGTTGATCACGAGAATTGAATCTAGTTAGCTCTATTATTATTATTATTATTATTAATCTACCGTCTGACACTGTAAACTTAATAGATTCAGATTCAGATGATAAGGATGAAAGGCTCTTGTGGCCTGTGTTAATCCTTGCTAAATATATCTCTGCAGAGATCTAACTTCTCTTCGAAAGCGTTCACCGATGGAGCTGTTACTACTAAATCAGGTAAGGAGTTCCAATCGTTGACCACTCTGTGACAGAATCTAAATTCTGCACGTAATACTTCAATGTTTTTTATCACCAATAGTGGAGATGAATTTCTTCTGAAATTCCCGTTTACTTGAAACGGTACAGATGCAGAATCACGATTGAATGTTTAGGTTGGATTATATTTCATTGTTGTCCTCATCAACACAACAGGTCTGCGTATCTTACAATATTTTAAGTGTTTTTCTATGTCGTTAACACTGCATAGTTGCTCAGAGTTAAGGCATATTCAGCTTATATTTGATGACTACAGATTCCTAAATATGAGAATGTAATTTCTGTAGGATTCATAAAGCTGTGCTCACTGGACATTACTGAGATTGTGGATCAATTTCAAAGCTACACATTTGCAATACCTCATTTAACGTAGACGTATTTAGTGTGAAAATGATGAGAGAATGATGTCTCAACAGTATGGGTGTTTCAGAGTTTATCTTGAAGTTTGCGTGTAATCCTCTAATGCTGGACAACTTATGAGATATATTTATGCATACGGCTTCAACGTAAAGACCAGCTGTGGACTACAAATACTTTTAATTGTATGGGAACTTTTGTTGTAATTTTTTTGTAATAGTAGTATTAGTATTTCGAGATGACCGAATTACAAGAATCCAACCAAAACACAGAGGGGGCGGAATTCAGGAATTTGTGTTTGGCGGAATTATTAGTCAGTTCATATAAGAAATATATTAGCAATCAACAGTAAGTATTTTAACAATATAGAGACAAATTGTCAATCACCACAACTTTACTTAGTATTAATATAATCAGTGTATACTGATATATAAAATTATCTTTCATAAATTCGTGTTGTGCTTCATATTTTAGGTATATGGAGGTTGTGGAGTGTGAAATCAGTGGAAATGTCAATCTGCCAAACTAACGCTAATACTCTTCATGAAAATTTTCTCTTGTAAACTAAGCAAATGTTTAATATACTGTTCATATAATGTTCATATTAAGAAGTTAAGGCACTCAAGCATAACTCATCCCCTCCTCTTACAGTTTGTCAGTTCGTGCATCTTACTTACACTTGACCTGTTTTTCTTGCTTTAATCATGATACAACCGTGTTTCGCAGAACTCATCACATAGCGTATCAGTCTTAAATGTATACCACATGCAGGTATAATGCTTATGAGCTAGGTATGCAAATCAAAGTAAACTTTTGCACGGTGCATTCATTACTTATAAGACTAACTAGTATGTAAGAGCTACGATTTGACCAGTTATACAACGTTTAATATATTTGGACACAATTAAACTACGCTGCTTCCTTCTATGACGCATTACCTAAAGCTACGTAGTTGCCTCAAAGTGGTTTCCGCTGAAGGTAATCTCCCATAGCTACTACCTCAGTGAGCAACTTAACGTTATCTTTGAATTTCAAAGTAAAAGCGGACGTCCTGGGAACCTTCTTGGTAAAAAGATTGTCTCCTAGTCGAAAAAAACGAATATATCCTAATCTCCACGAAAGCGTTTAGAGGTATTCATCCTATCACCTCACTATTTTCAGCCACTTAAAAAGTAAGAATAAATTTACCGAAGACAGTATGCTAATGGCTTCTAGGTATCATAATGTACCATGAGGGAAAACCTATATCCATAGGGTTATAACAGTTACAAGATCGATGTTAATCCGAAACACGACGACTACGATTCTCGATGAGAGAAAATCCTACTTTGCTACCTAATCTTCCAATAGTATTAACAGATGTTTCACCAAGAAAAAGAAAACCGATGGTTTCAGGAAAATTTATTTGGTTTTATTAAAGATCATGGGCATCCGTATTTATAGCTACGGAGAAATCACAAACATCCACAAAATAGCAATTTCATTATTTGAAATGAAGCAAGCAATCGGTATTCAGCCAATATTTTCACCCCGAACAATAATCAGTTTCTCAGCTTATTGTAGACCACAATGAGAAACGTTATTCTTCTAATTAAAGTCTTACCTTTAACTGGGATAGTTCCTACACTCACTTAATCATCATGTTATCCGCTTTTTTCTACGCACTGAATGACTGTTAACACTGATTTTGCTATATGCAGTCTTAGTTCATGTATTTGGATCTAGTACATTGGGCGTTAATAAACATAGGTAACACTTACCATGTATGGGTTTCTCATTGCTCTCAAGTTTCCTTCAGTTCCAAAAGTACATACAGGCACAACAGATTCACACCTCTCATGTGACTCAACCTGGTTTGATTTAGATTCTCTGACAATATATCTGATTCTTTAACTGATAATATACACTGATGGTATACTCAGCTTCTCGAAAAGCTTCAAAGATTTTGCGACTTCGAACCACGTTCTGAAATCTCCAGGTTTAATATGTTCTTCGTAAACCTTGCCAATATCAAACCTGATCGTATTCTCCTCACCAGACTGACTCGTAGATTGCTGCAAGCTGTAAAAACGATTGTGAAAGACATTGTTTCTTCCAGATTTCTACATACTAATTAATCGATTGAGCAAGAAACAATAACAGCAACCAGCAAATGAACTAAAAACAACAGCTAAACACGTTCACGTGCACATTTTCCAAAACTTCTACGCAGAACTACTTCATTAATAGCTGAAAAACAACTAAAACATTGAAACCAGATATGAAAACAACGCGTGAAAGAATTGTAATGAAATGAATGCACCGCCCTAGTGGCAAAAACTTCCGAAACATACGAAATTAGTCATTTTAACAGCAACGGAAACAAAAATGAAGTGAAACGCAGCATTTGTGAACAATGCGCCACAAGATGAGTTGTGAATAAATGTATGATAAGCGGGAAAACCGATGTGCAAACGAACGGCTACGGAAATGCAGTCTAACATGGCCGACTAACATAAACGAAAATGACCTTTGAGCGTCTCACTCCGTCAATGACCTTGAGCATGCTGGATAATTTCAGTCGAGTGAACTGTACAGGACTAAAGCAGAGGACAGAAACCTGAAATAAAAAATCAGTCTGGCTAGCTCATTCAGAGAATAAGATATCGAAGCAATTCGGTTAGGAATAGCAGGCTGGTTAGAGAGCTGAAACGGGAATTAGGTTATATCAGCAAGGCAACAAAAACAGTACAGGCTAAATAAATGCCTTTAGTAGTGAAATTGCATTCACTGGAAGAGTCAAAAATTTTGCCAGTACTCGGGTTACTTCTGGTCATATTTTGAAACTACTTAAGGTCTGCTGGACAGTCCGTATTGTGTCAGGAAATTATCAATGCAAGAGCTTGATTAGATGCTGTCAGAACTTATATTTACATCCAAAACATGGAAACTTACGACTGAAAATGTAAAGGAAAATCTCCATAAGACATAAGAAGTGGAAATAATCCTATTCACTCATATGACACGAGGTTACATGCAATTACTAGGTAACAGCTGACGATCTCCTCAGGTTTATCAGGGGCGTCACATATCAGCTACATAAAATTACAACTAAAAAGTCAAGCTAAGTGATGGACATGTTCACTAGCTTGGCAATTTTCAGTGACAACCGTCCCATGTTGAAAACCTTTTGAAGCCATTCTGACGATTAAATGAGGCAACAAATTGCTTTTATAGACTAAGGAGTGACATGAGAATATCAAGCAGTGGTGTTCAATGATATTCCGAAGGTTGTTTCTGGAAGATCTGCCAAGTGTTATGATATCGGATTTTCTATTTTTATTTTCGTTTTTTGATTACAGCTTGATTCCACACTGTACTTTTGTTACAAGTACGGAAATTTGAGCATGTGATATCGGTAGCCCAAATTTTACAGGCCAACCATAGATATCAGGCGTGCGTCGGCAGGATATGGAACCTCGGACCATGTGCATGGTCGGCGAGAGTCTTAACCACTGTGCCACCGACGCCATCCATATTCATTCTTTGCACCTGAGTTGACTGCGAGACGTTGTGAGTTGTTACACTGGTGTTTCTACTAACACTAATCTGATAAAGCTCGGAAAAGATTTCTTTATATAACGAATTGTAAGTGGAGTAACCAAACAAACATTTATTGTCGTAACCCTGTAGCATCATTACCAATTACTAGTGTGCCAGAACACTGGTGGAAAAGGTGGCAAACTTACTCTATTTATACTCATTTACGACAGTCAAGTGAGCGATAGGAGGTCAACTGGTCTACGTTGTCTCAACACAAAACAATTCGGTATATCGTTCAAGATCAAAGGAATGATGTTGTTTAACCGCTTAATTTTTTCTAGGCTATCTGTGGTGGGGATTAGATTTTGCCGAAATGGCGGTACCTTGTAATGTTGTAGATATGTATGTCTTATCGATGATTTTTAATCGTATATTTTAGAGATGTAGGTGGCAAAGAAAGTAGGTACCCTTTTTGGCTAAGATGGAGTCGCACTTCAAATGAACACTTAAAAGAGGCAGAAAAGAAGCTGATATCACGTAAATGTTCGCTTTGAATTTTTAGTTTTGCTGCTTATATACAGGAATTAAAAGCAATGTTGAGGCTTTCTTTGTGCCTATTTTTAATGGATCTTGTTACATCCGTACATTTGTATGCCGTGGATTTAAAAGTAGTCAGCCAGCGCATGAAAACAAAGTGAACAATGAAAATGTTTTACCCATTGTGCTCATCCATGGCTTTGGTTCTGGTTCTGCTCTTTGGTGTAAAAATATTGACGCGCTTGCACACTATCGCACTGTATATTCGTTAGATGTTTTAGGTTTTGGAAGAAGTTCTCGGCCCAGTTTCCCTGCTGATGCTGTTGCAGTTGAAGAGAAATGGGTTGAGTCTATTGAGGAATGGAGATCATCTTTAAATATCGAAAAGTTTATTTTGCTCGGCCATAGCCTAGGTGGATTCTTAGCCTGCTCCTATTCACTTACGTACCCTCAAAGGTATGTTACACTGTAGTTAAACCTTTTCACTTTTCTGCAAGTTTATGGTATATTCAGCATCTTGATTCATTTAAGATGCTGACAGTTCTAACCTCATTACTACTTACATATAAACGACCATTATCTGAGCAATATGTGTATGTTAATAACAGTTCAAGGGCTTTATATATATATCGGCAATTTCTGAACTGCTTTTTCTAATTAGGAAGGCTTAAGCGTTATCCATCTACCATATATATATATATATATATATATATATATATATATATATATATATATATATATATATATATAACGAAAAGCAGTGGTCTGAAGGGAAAGCTAAGAAGATGTATTACCAAGGCCTTCGAAATTTTTTAAGTGATGGGATTTCATTAGTACTTTATTTCATCACTAAACCTCTAGTAAGCGTCATTAATAAAATTCCTATCTCTATGGGGATTTAAAATCAAGAGTTTCAAGTGTTTTATTTTAATGTTGCACTACTGTTACTCTTGTACACATCGGTGCAAAGTTCCATGTCAAAAGCTATGTCTATTCAGACTAGATTAACAAATTATGTTGACTATCAGTTTCTATTTAGTGTATAGAATTGGCTTCACTGTAGAGTTTTTGTTTTCTCAAAGCATATTTCAACTAAAGTGTAATTATATTTCAATAGTTTATACCCAATGATTAGTTTTGTTATTGGTAATATTTCGAGCAAAATTACTGCCCGTGTTCACACCACTCTTGGAATTATTTTGTTCACACATTTATGATTTGTACTCATATATATAGTTCATTACTATTATTTTTGCTCATTGATGTCTTTTGTATTCAGAATTATATTCCAAGTTGTTGACAGTTGTGCTGAGTGACCCTTGTTACATGTATCCGGTGTGACTTTAATGAATATCGATTCTGTTATGAGTTTTTGTTTCCATTTTTCCATGTTAGTTTTTAGAATAGACACATTGTTCCGATCGATATTGTGGTTTTTGTCCCATGCATGTGCAGCTATCGATGAATTTTTTTTCAAGATTTATGTAAGCTTGGGTTCCTGTTGGTTGACTTTTGGTTAGGCATTTATGTTCATTCACTCTTATTTTTAGTAATCTGGACTTTTGATCTACATATTTCAACTATTACACATAACAGCTTTTTCTTGTCACTTAATACTGAGTTTCGAAACCTGGTTTCCACTGCCCCTCATAAATTGTGTCTTATGCACTAACTTGTTAGGTGTGCATCACTAATTACAAAAATATCTTTCGTGTTGTTTGCTTTAGGGTTAACTTGAATGGCCCTTGATGTATCAGTCATATATAAAGTATTTAATCTATAGGGTGCCTATTCGTTACGTATTTGTTTACATATATTGATTCCGTGGAGACATTCACTGGGATATGTTGAAAAGGATTCGGTTGAATACTCTACCGCACTCATATTCGATTAGTATTTCGCTAGTGAGTATAATAGAGGTGATGTTATGAATGTTTTATCACCAATATCCTTAATGTCCTTCTATAAATGACAGTATTGAAGATTGAACAGTGATGCCTGACATAGTCCCTCTGGTAAAGAAGTTTAGGTGTTGCTCATGATATCCAAAGTGTATTACTTTTTAATTCAATGAACCAAACAAAAATATTGAACTGTGTAGAAGTAATTCTTGAAGCTGTTAGTCTCTTATTTCTTTTTTTATTACAGCTTGATTCCACACCTTATTTTCGGTACAAGTATGGAATTTTCAGCGTGGATATCGGTAGCCCAAATTTCGCAGGCCGACCATAGATATCAGATGTGCGTCGGCGTGGGCTCACACCCCGGACCATGTTCATGGTCGGTGAGAGTCCTAACCACTGTGCCACCGCCGCACACACTGTTTTCACTCATGTTTCAAAATCTGTTTCTGCCGTAAAATATGTAACAACCAATCCCACCTAGTAAATATTTCTTTGAGCCCGAGCATATGTTTACCTAAGTGTCGTTTTTTGGTCGCACGTGACAAGTTTAAACGTGTGATGCTGTGATACGTCTTTAGTAATGTCTGTCAATCTACTTAATATTTAAGTCATCAACTTGTTCCTTCTCCTTTTATACAGGGTTGCGCATTTGATCTTAGCAGATCCTTGGGGTTTTGTCGAAGACCCCCTGAAAGCCAAAGAACATTCAAATGTTGGCTTAGCTCAAGCATGGATGTTTTCAACCATACGGCATATATTCCGCCCATTTAACCCTCTCACTTTCCTTCGGGCTGCTGGACCCTTTGGTCCCACTTTGATTCACCATTTCCGTCAAGACCTTAGGGGATTTTTTGACCAGAGACCAATACGAGATGGAGAGGTGAGATATGCATTTAGCTAAGTGTAATTATTGAGATAACCTTATAAACTACATAGTAATTTGCAATACAAGTGTATATTCACATTTAAAATGATAAAGTAGTGATGTTTCAAACAATAATTTGGAAGTCAGGTTCTCGTCCCCCGAAAGCAAGGCCTGTTTTGACATCTTAGAGTGCAGTGACCTTCGAGAACATTGCATACATTTTGCAAATTGGGCTCTGCTTTGATTTGACGGGTAAAGTTTATTGCTTCTGTGTGTACATTTTTCTTCGTATTAGACAATACAGTAGTTATAATATACGAAATGTTCATGGTGTTCAAGCATATTTTTTTTATAAATCAGTTATTAATCCTGTATTTCTTTAGTAGTAGGAACTGGAGACAGTGTTTTCACTGTTTTAACATCTGTTTCTGTTGTAAAATATGTAACATAACCAATCCCACCTAGTAAATATTTCCTTCAGCCCTAGCATATATATATATATATACGACTATTAGTGACATTTATCAACGCATTGTTTTTCTTACATTTGATAATAAGTGTAAAATAAAATTGAGTTTCAAACATTCAAGATGATTTTATTGATTGTGCACTTGGAATGAATATCTTGTGTTGAAGAAACACTTTATCACTTGTTATCTGAAGAGTATATCACTAAATCTTTGCATCGTCCTGCATCTAGTCTTTGTGGCGCTTAGTTTCATACTTCACTATATATATATATATATATATATATATATATATATATATATATAATATCGCGAGTTTATTCTGTTTTTCTCTATTTGGTGATTGATACATAAATAATCTGTCAGTCGGCTTAGAAATCTCTAATAGGTCGTATGAAATTAGAGGCGGTCCGCAAAGAATCACTGTTTTCAGTCTCAGGTGTAAGACATCGATCAAGAGATTCTAATTTGTTTTGTTGGCTGTGTTACGTCACCGATTCTACTGACTTCGTTTCACTTTAGTTTCTATCTGATTAATATTTCTGTGCCACGTTATTCAGAATCTCTTGATTGGTTCCGAGATTGATGACGATTAAGCTGACTTCACTTAGAGAACCATTGAAAGTCAGGTGATCTTTAGAAGTACCCCCACCAAGGACTGTACCAATGGCTTTCAGGTTGCAAGGCAAGCTCTTTGACCATTCAGTCACTGAGCCTCAATACAATAGCCCATGAATTCCAACTTCTGCCAATTTGTGATAGATAGTATATATATACATGTAATGCCACTACTCAATGTCATCGAAAGGTATGTCTCATACCCAACTTGATAGACCCCGTTGGTCACGATTTCCCACTATAACTTTAGGCAATTTCATCCTCTAGTCAGTCCCTAGTGGGCACTCACCTTGTGATATGATTATCCTGGGTTCGATCCCTTGGTTGGGTCAAGGGTGCGTACTGATGGAGAGTCCGACACAGGGACGAAACAACTCTCCAGTACTCCCTGGTTCGCATTGGTTCTCTAACCAAAGTCAGTCAGGGATTCATTTCTAAATCAATTAAATCCTTGAAAGATAACTGTTGGAAGTCTCTTAAATTTTTATCTTATGAGTGTTGTGTCAATGACACCTCGTCCGAAACATTCTTTTTGTTGCTATGACAGTGTAGTATATGTATATGATTGTACTGCTTGAGAATGATGTTGCTGGAAATAGTCAATTTGCCCTGATCACCTCTTCTTTTATTTGACTTCGTTGGCTATTCAGGAACTGACTACCCGTTTAATACCCCAATATGGCTAAAAGCGAGTAAAGCGTACACGACTTAAGAAGAAATTAAAGAACCTACTTTGATTATGTGCAAGTTTTCATTAAGCTCGTCAATACATGATTGTGTTTGTGTTCAGTCTACGTCAGTCACTTGAATATTGTGAAGTTTTACAGACTAATGGGGGACTGTCATCAGTTTAACTAGATAGAAAGTTTATCAGTATTTCGAGTCCTCGTCTAGATGGAGTTCATCAGTGTAGTGCATTACTTTTAGTCTTGTTACGGCGTTTTTTAATTCATTCTTTGAAGATTACATATTAGAGGAGTTTCTGTCTGCTTTCAAAATATGCTCTCTTTAGACTTAGGGTTTCTCACATCTCCGTATTCGACCACCGCCTTCATTATGGAATCATTTACATATGCTAGCAAACACCGTATACCCAATTCTAGTGGCTGAGAAACAATGCATTCCACTATTCGAAATTCCAGGTTATCTTGAGAAGTTGTTTGGAATGTATCTCATGAATGCTTTTACCTCTTTCCATTTTTTGTGAATCACATTGTTTTCTGTAGCATAATACTTAATGTCAATGTTGTATACTCGGCTTGTGTCTTGACAAAAAAAGTGATAAATATTCAAATGATTCTGGATTTTTAGTTACATGCAATAAATTTACTTCTATCAGTGTCAAATTCTATTCTAAGCGTTTGAGAAGCCAATAAGAGAAACATGACGCATAATTTCTATTTATTTTTCTAATCGCTTAATTCTGAAGATATTGGAGATACCTCCAGAAGAACAACTTAAGTCAACAGGATCCATGTCATTTGATGATCAAATTCAATCGACTGATGGTGAAGATAATGGTGCGTTTGAGTTATCTTCCACTGAAGACAAGACGTTGAAGACTAGTGCTACTCATAAAACTACTTCTGGTTCAGTGGGTTCCCTAGGCTTTGATGATCTAGATGGCTCTGTGGCACTGGATTACGTTTATCACATTAACTGTCAACATCCAAGGTAAGCTTTTCTTGATATTCTGAGTTCTCTTTTTTATTATTATTTCCTTTAATTCCTAGAGGAATATAGGGCTTCAACTCCACGTCTCCATTGCGTTCGGTTCTCTGCTAAAGTTTTCACCTGGCTCCAGGTTCATCCACATGCTTTCATCTCTTCTTCACATGACCTTCTCCAAGTCACCCTTCCACTGACGACCAACTCGCCGCCCGCTTCCCTTTCGGGTTCCATTCGAGCGATGGCTTGTCTAGTGATGTCACTTGATGGTTTCCTCAGTATGGCCAATCCATCTCCATTTATTCCTGCCTATTTGTTGCACAATCGGTTCCTGGTTGGTTCGCTCATTGCCAGAGATTCCTGTTGGTGATCTTTTCTGGCCATCTGATCTTGAGTATTGAGCGAAGACAGCTGTTAATGAAGTTCTGTAGTTTGTTTGATGTGCTCTTTATGGCGCGCAGTGCAAGTCTCTGATCCGTTTGGTAAGTAGCACTGACTTCATATTGGAGTTGATATATATAATTATCTATCTGTACTGTGTGGCTTCTGTGTCTCATTAAATTAGTACAAGGGTTCAAAAATAACCTTTGTTTTGTAGAAGTAAAGCTAATGAGAAAGGGAGTAACTAGATAGACTTACTATTAGCATTCTGAAACGAAAAGCGAAGACTAACTGTCATATTCAAGCGTCGATTTGTAGGGACTTGATTGGTTACAGGATTTCATCATGCGCTGACATTGGTTAGAAAACCATTGGAAAACCTGGTCCTATTCAGGTAGGTACTTACATGGGGTTCTAGTGAGAAGTCGTGACCAGTAAGGTCCAGGAGGTCGGATGTGAGGACAAATACTCGCCGAAGATATTGGCTAGTGGTCGCGCTATATCGTGAATTGGTAGAATTTAGAATTCATGGGCCACTGGATCGGGTCGCAGTGGCTTAAGGGTATACGAGCTTGCCTTGTATTCAGAAGGTCCTGGGTTCTAACCCTGGTGGTGGGTGCGTACTGCTGAAGAGTCCCAAACTAGGACAACGGAAACAACTGTTCAGTACTCCCAGGTTTTCCAGTGGTTCTGTAACCAATGCCAGCTCATGATGAAATCCTGTAACTATCATATCTTAAGTAATTTGTCTTATGAACTCCTATTAGTCGTTCTTATACTATGTGAAGCTTTGAGTTCATATTTTAATTGTACACATTTCTATGAGAATTCTTTCGTTTCAATGTAGGGGACACTTTTATGCCTCAGAATTTAGCAACAGTGCACCCAACTATTTTATCGAAGGCTTATAGTTAGCTTCAGACACTAATTTCTTGATAACATATGATAAGATATAATCTCAAACTGTGGGAACAAGTCAACCAAGAACCTATTGCACAATTAATATGCCGAATAAAATGTAGGTGAATCGGACACACACTGAGCTCTCAGGATAGACGCCTTGAACGCTGGAAAGAACACTTTGAGGAACAATTTAACTTGCCTACAGCCACACTGAACCTCCCCGACATCCACCACACACCCGAATGGGATATAGACACTGGTCCGCCGTCTGTAAGTGAAGTCACAAAAGCTATCAGTAATTTGAAACGAGGCAAAGCGGCAGGACCCGACGGAATTATTCCGGAGGTGTTTAAATATGGGGGTGACATACTAGTTTGTAGATTAACTGAGGTACTAGGCAAAGTCTGGGAATCAGAGACAGTTCCATCAGACTGGGGTAAGTCACTTATTATACCGCTATTCAAGAAGGGAAACAAGTCCTCGTGTGATAATCATAGGGGGATCAGCCTAACGAACATAGTCTCTAAAATCCTAGGCTCAGTAATCATGCACAGACTAAGCAGAACTCGGGAGGAACAGACGAGGGAAAATCAAGGAGGCTTTAGACCAGGTAGAGGGTGCATAGATCATATCTTCACTCTTCGACAGATTCTAGAACATAGACACACTTTTCGGCGTCCAACAATTGTCATATTTCTTGACTTGAAGGCGGCCTTTGACTCCGTGGATCGAAAGGTACTATGGCAATGTCTGACTGTGAGTGCCAAGAAAGTACATTGCACTAATCAAGGCACTCTATTCAAACTCATGTAGCCGTGTAAGGGCTTATGGGGAATTGTCATCTGAATTGGTAACAACCAGTGGTGTCCGACAGGGATGTCCACTTTCCCCTTCCTGTTTAACTTCATCATAGATATGCTAATGGAAGTCTCCTTAACTGAACGTAATGACTTAGGAATCGACTTGTTACCAGGGAATAGTCTTATGGACTTGGAATATAGAGATGACATAGTCCTGTTAGGGGAGGATGCTGACAAAATGCAGAGTCTTCTGAACACCTTGAGCAGCAATCTTCGTATGTTTGGCATGCGATTCGCCTCTGCAGAAGGTAAGATGCTGCTACAGGACTGGACCACGTCAACTCCTAGCTTAGTGATAGGGAGTGAAGTGATAGAACATGTTGACCACTCCACCTATTTGGGAAGTCGTAACAGCACCAACGGACTGGTTGGCGACGAAATCTCAGCACGGATCCAAAAAGCTCGAGCTGCTTTCGCTGACTTACACCATCTCTGGCGTAGGCCTGACATCCGGCTGGCTATCAACCAAGGGACGTGTGTACTGCTCAGCAGTTCGCTCCGTCCTTCTCTATGGCTCTGAAACATGGCCAATACGAGTTGGAGACATGAAAAGGTTGACTGCTTTCGATCATAGATGTCTGCGATCGCTGTCTCACGTTAGGTGGTTTAATAAGGTAAGTAATGTTGACGTTAGGCGTAGAGTGTTGGGCAAACAGGGGAAATCAATCGACGAGGCTATAAAGTTACATAGATTGAGATGGCTAGGTCACATGCTGCGCATGCCTAACCATCGCCTCCCCCGACGAGCATTGCTAGCTGATATAGGTGCAGGTTGGAAAAGAGCCAGTGGTGGCCAAACAAAAACATGGCATCAATCCATGAAATGCTTGACAGTTAAACTGAGTAAGGTAGGGAGATACAGACTTCCGGGCTGGAGCCCTCGGGGCTCTAAGAATCAATGTCTGTCTGTCTGGATTCAACATAGAACTTGGCACCGAAGTGCAGCAGTTCGAGTTGCCACGTTCCAAATAGCACACAGAGGTAGACAAGAAGATGAGTGAAGAGAATTAATAGAGTTTGACAAATATAAGAGTGAAACAGAATGGGTAATGGTAGAAAGGAATATGAAAGATTACAGAGATTGAATACATCTGCGCCATTGACAACGATTTTGAGCCATGTCACCTATTGTCTCCAGCCATTGATTCCTAGAGTCCCGAGGGCCCCAACCCGGGAGTCTGCATCTCCCTACCTGACTCAGTTTAACTGTCAAGGATTTCATGGATTGATGCCATGTTTTTGTTTGGCCACCACTGGCTCTTTTCCAACCTGAACCTATATCAGCTAACAATGCCCGTCGGGGGAGGCGGTGGTTAGGCATGCGCAGCACGTGACCTAGCCATCTTAGTCTATGTAACTTTATAACCTCGTCGATTGATTTTCCCTCTTTGCCCAACACTCTACGCCTAACGTCAACATTACTTACCTTGTGAAACCACCTAACGTGAGACAGAGATCGCAGACATCTATGATCGAAAGCAGTCAACCTTTTCATGTCTTCAACGCGTATTGGCCATGTTTCAGAGCCATAGAGAAGGACGGAGCGAACTGATGAGCAGTACACACGTCCCTTGGTTGATAACCGGATGTCACGCCTACGCCAGAGATGGTGTAAGTCAGCGAAAGCAGCTCGAGCTTTTCGGATCCGTGCTGAGATTTCATCGCCAATCAGTCCGTTGGTGCTAATACAACTTCCCAAGTAGGTGAAGTGGTCAACATGTTCTATCACTTCACTCCCTATCACTAAGTTAGGGGTTGACGTCGTCCAGTCCTGTAGCAGCATCTTACATTTTGCAGGGGCGAATCGCATGCCAAACATACGAAGATTGCTGCTCAAGGTGTTCAGAAGACTCTGCATTTTGTCAGCATCCTCCCCTAACAGGACTATGTCATCTGCATATTCTAAGTCCATTAGATTATTCCCTGGTAACAAGTCGATTCCTAAGTCACTACGTTCAGTTAAGGATACTTCCATTAGCATATCTATGATGAAGTTAAACAGAAATGGGGAAAGTGGACATCCCTGTCGGACACCACTGGTTGTTACCAATTCAGATGACAATTCCCCATAAGCCCTTACACGACTACGTGAGTTTGAATAGAGTGCCTTGATTAGTGCAATGTACTTTCTTGGCACTCCCTTCACAGTCAGACATTGCCATAGTACCTTTCGATCCACGGAGTCGAAGGCCGCCTTCAAGTCAAGAAATATGACAATTGTTGGACGCCGAAAAGTGTGTCTATGTTCTAGAATCTGTCGAAGAGTGAAGATATGATCTATGCACCCTCTACCTGGTCTAAAGCCTGCTTGATTTTCCCTTGTCTGTTCCTCCCGAGTTCTGCTTAGTCTATGCATGATTACTGAGCCTAGGATTTTAGAGACTATGTTCGTTAGGCTGATCCCCCTATGATTATCACACGAGGACTTGTTTCCCTTCTTGAATATCGGTATAATAAGTGACTTACCCCAGTCTGATGGTACTGTCTCTGATTCCCAGACTTTGCCTAGTACCTCAGTTAATCTACAAACTAGTATGTCACCCCCATATTTAAACACCTCCGGAATAATTCCGTCGGGTCCTGCCGCTTTGCCTCGTTTCAAATTACTGATAGCTTTTGTAACCTCACCTACAGACGGCGGACCAGTGTCTATATCCCATTCGGGTACGTGGTGGATGGCGGGGAGGTTCAGTGTGGCTGTAGGCAAGTTAAATTGTTCCTCAAAGTGTTCTTTCCAGCGTTCAAGGCGTCTATCCTGAGAGCTAATTAAGGAGCCATTTTTCTCAGAAATAGTCTCACTTATGAATTGCCTTTTCCCGCCCGATTCTGTGATGAGTCTAAAGAGTTGCCTAGTGTTGCCTA